CCCCCTGTCATGCTTGTGCTGACCTACAGTCAGTTCCGGACGCAGGCTCTCAAAATGGTGTTCAACACACTGTTCGCAGACAGCCCTACCTTTCTGCACCACCTCATGTCCTCTGAACCGCCCATCATCAATGCCTCTGTGGTGTCGGCAGTGTCACGTATCCTGATCGACTGTCTGAAGAAAACTTGGCGGAGCTGCCCTTACTACACGTTCAGCATCACATACTGGTGCCGCGAGACTGCTCCAATGCTCTTTGAACGTGGTTTGCTTTACCCCTCCCTCATCAGGTGCGTGCCATTTTCCACCATGCAGCTGTTTCTCATCATATTGTTCTCACCTCTAGCAATGCCATTGGTATATTGCTGATGATAGGATGCATGGGAGAGGTTTGGTATGACAATAGTGCCTGCTGGTGGTACAGGGGCGAAGAGGTGCCCGAGACCATGGAGAGGTTTGAGCATGCAGCGTAGATTTATTTTGTCGCCTGCTACCTAATGCAGTGCCCTCGTTGATTTTTTATCTGTGCCATCCCAATTAAGGCTGGGCACGGGTCGACCCACAGCTCACCCGGATCCGAACCCGTAGGTTTTGGACGGATCATAGTGCCCGATCTGGATCCGGCGCTATCCGCGCGCTCGGATATCCGCAACCCGCGCGATCCGCACCTGAAGTTTACGGATTCGCGGTTCAGTGATCCCGTGACCCGCACGATCTGCACCCGAAGTTCACGGATGCACGGTTCGGTGATCCAAAAATCGAGTTTTACTTCGACTGCCTTTTAAAGTAGTGCGTTATGTAGCGCTGCTCAGCCGATTTCAGACACACAAAAAACGAGTCTAAACGACGAAGAAATGCACGAGATACAAGGTCTACAAGTGACGACCCAAGATGAGTGAGAATGGTGATGATGTCATAGTTGCCTGCCAAATACAGTGCTTCAACAACCAAGTACTTATCACAAAACACCGTAGAACTCTTATAATGTGTGCCTATTTGTCGCTGCTAGCGCGGAGACATACAGTGCCAAAGCACATGATACCCACAACAAGTCTAGAACGGAACACATATAGATTGCCTTGATACATTGTACAGTCGCTAAGGACAGAGTCTAGAGATACGCAGTGGCGCGGCCACCGCAACTGATCAAGTTTGATCACGTTACCAGCCTCCGCGGTGCGAGCCTCCGTGTCGTTGGCAGCCTCCTTGCGAGCTGCCACTGCGGGACCGGCCTTTATTATGTTCGCGAGGTCGTCCTCGCGCAGGATGGCAGGGATGCCAGCCCACGAGCCGGCCACAGTCCCCACACAAACGGAGTCTTTGCCGAGGGAGTGCCGAAGGCGAGACACGGTGAGGCGCCCATGCGAGAACGTGCGCTCAGTGTCAGTGGAAGTAGCTATGGAAGGGGTTATTAGCATCAGCTGTGGCTTGCGAGCGTAGAGTTGCACGACCGCGGCATACCTAGGATGGACAAGAAGTCCAGGGCCATCCTGGCCAGTGCACAGTCGGCCGACTTCGGGTCTTCCGCACTCTTCAAGACCAGATCCCAGTAGATCAAGGGATCAGAGACAGGTAGGCGGTGAGGGTGTCCTTGTTCTTGTTGGCGTTTACAGAGATCGATGCAAACATGGCCTTGGACGCCTGAAAGGAATGAGGAATGTGCCTGTCCAAGAGTACATGATAGACATACCGCATTCACCGAGGCCTGCGCACTGCGCCGTGCAGAGTTTGCGACCACCTTGCCTTTCTGCTTGCCACTTGCAGCACCTATGGGAGTCTTTGCGGTGTTCTTGGCCTTTGTCGAGAACACTCCGGAGCTGGAGCACGCAGAGACAAACGTGGGGACAACGGGAATGTCGGCTGGCTTGTAGTATGTCTCCCACTCCTCCTTGATGATGTCCTTGGCTTCATCGATCCACTCTTCAGTCCACTTGTGCAAGCGGAAGTACTGAGTCTTGTAAGCGGGATGCAGGACTGCGAAGATGTTAGCAAAGTACCAGTATATACTATAGGGACAATGCTTACTCATCACGATGCGATAGACAATCAACTCATCCGTCTTCTCGTAGTACTTGTTGAGGACGACGTGCCCGCGCTCCGCAGCTGCACGAACGGTCGCCACGAGTGTGTCGTCATCCGCAAAGTCGTCGAGGTGCTCGGTAAGGATATCGATATATGGGATGAGCTCGTGTACCAGCGCGCGGCTGCTGGTCGAGATCTGCTTCGTTGCGAACAGGAACGGGGCCTGCGAGCAGTGCAGCAGATCAGTTATGAATCCTCAGTAGAAGCAGTACTCACACCGAGGAGCCTGTGAAGCTCGTAGAGCAGCTCCCACTCCTCGTTGTCGAGCATGAATCAATGGAGGCGGACGCCGTCGCGACGGTTGAACTGTGTCTTGTCACAGAGCTCAGTGAGAACATCGCACATTTCCAACGTGCAGGCCAAGACTTCCGTCACTGTGTTCCTGGTGTATTTTCCCTTCCCAGTGCCAATGGACCGTGATCCCGAGGAATGAGAGCACATTTGGTGGGGGTTCAGCCATTGACACACGAGGGGATCTTGACCTTGGCATAGAGCATGCGGAAGATGTTCTGCAACTCCGGATCCTTGACGATTGCATAGGGACGGTGATGGCGAGCACACCACAGCGCAAGAAAGAGGCGCATACGTGGAGGGGTGTAGGTGATGCCGTGAGCGAATGCCGAGATCTTTTCGCCTTCGGGAGTGTCGTCGGGCTCGCAGGAGTCGACATGGCGCTTGAGGTTACCAGTCGAGTACTCGTAATCGGCACGATCGACATGCTTGGATGGGCACCTGATGAAGTGATAAGTACCAGGGAACTATTGTAAGTGTAGGATTGTGCAGGACTTACCTCTTGCAAACGAATCGGTAGATATAGGACCCCTTGGGTCCCGCAATGAGCTCCAGAACCTTGAAGTGTCCGTAGACCTTCGATCTCCAGCCCTTGGAGATGATTTCTGCAACAAACGACACCGATCAGCCGCTTGAAATGTGCACAAGATATCAAACCACTTGCGGAGTATCTCCTCAGGTGTCTGGCCACGATACTTCTCCTGGAAGCGCACACGCTTCTCGTCCGCAGTGAGAAGACGGAGACAGCGGCTCGCATTACGGGTGACGGTGGCCAAGGCCTCGATGCCGCCATCGGTGGCAGCCTCAGCTCCGCTCTTCTCAGCAGAGCCGTCCGCCGCGCTGTTCTTGCTGTCATCGGAAGGATCGCCCTCGGGAGAGGACACGTCGCCAGCTTGCGAGTCGTCGTCAGAGCCGTCGTCCTTGAGTTTCTTCTTGGGCGGGCTCGCAACGTCGGAGGGTTGTCCGCGAGCCTTGGCTGGTTGCAGTGGAGTTGCGTCCAATCCACCCTCGCCAGCTGACCCGCTAAGAACAACACGGGTGGCCTCCGAGGACACGGTGTCGCGACGGTGTTTGTTGCCAGCTTCAAAAGACATGAGACTGCAGGGGGAATGCCGTGTTGAGCAAAACGGGAGAGGGTACGAGCGGTGAAACTCTGGGGACTTACCCAGGATGAGGACCAGCTTATATCCTCCCGTAGGTCTCACCGTAGAGTTACCATCGGCCACCAAGACCCAATGAACCGATGGCCGACTGACTGCCTACACGCGGTACAGGCATGGCAGGCGCACATCGGAGTCGCAGGTCACTGCAGTGAACGGCGCATGCTCCTGGAAGGCTGGTCAGTGGTCGCGCAACTTCAGAAAATATGATGTTAATGTCTTACCCTCCCACATGTTCCCTTATCATGCTGGTTGCATTTGTGTCAGCTGCAGAGCGAGGTAGGTGTACCTGGGCGCAGACAGTCAACGCCAAGAAACTTGGGATACTGTACAGCACGTACCGGTTGAAATATGGCAGAACAAGGCCAAGGAAGGCGTCGCATGGAGGACAATATCCAGGAGGAGTTCAGGGGCAGGAGAGCGACGTGGCAAGAGGAAGAGTGAGCCTGAGAAGACGCACATCGAGCAGGGCACCCACAGCGCCTAGGTTGGCAGTTGTCCCCACGCAGAAGCAACCATATGGAGCGCGCATGACGCACAGACCAGCGCATGCGCGTCCGCTCAACACCTCCATGACTCTCTTGACCACCGAGCTCATTTGATAGCTCTTCACTCTCTGTTTTCGCCGCCGACGCTACTACTCCCTCGCAGCTCCTCATCAGATTGTAATCTCACTGTCTAAGCGCCCTAACCGCGTGGATCACACACTCCTTCCCTCATGAGCTCCAAGTGCCTCCCGTGGTACAAAACGACAATCCACGAGTCAAGGTACAACACGGCACAACATAAAAACGGGGTATGTCTTGATTTTGAATCACATGCAACGCCGCCCTCAAGGCATGACAGTCCGAATGTCGGACAGCCAATAATGGCCGACAGCGCCGCGCACGGCGCACGACATCCTACTCAGAGCGGGCCTCAGCAGGGATCTGCCTTAACGCAAAAAACTACATAAGCTGGTGCAGCGGAGTCGTTGACTTTGTGTCAAACTCGCCCTCTCAGATGTTTCGCAACCGGCCACCACGCATGTCCACTCACACCACTGCACCCCCACCCATGTACGACGCGGAGGGCGACAGCGCTAACATCTATCTGTGCATTGACTCTACATCGGCCAGCACGATGCCCGACGAGCACGACAACCCGGAACCTATTCCGTTCGTTGTGATGCTCATCTATGGGCCAACTAACGCTCTCACGGTGAGCCGTGGATAACACCTCATATGCCCTCCTTTACTAATCAAACCATTTATAGCTCCTGTTCCCCACCGATGAGTGTACCAAAGTCACTCAGGCTCAGATCGAGGTGTGGCTGCACTTCGCGCACGGTCCATTCTGGACACAGTGTGGGGCCTCAGACGAGCAGCTGGAGAGTCTGGTCGCGATCATCCTCGTGTACCGCGTGTTTGCGCTCGGGCATCCGGGCGTGGATCGCGACGACTTCTATCTCTTTGCCGCACGCCTTGTACTCGCCGCCCACGAGCTACACCCTCTCGAACGTGCGGATGACAAGCTCGCTAAGCTCGTAGACTGGCTCAACGTGAACCTGCCGGCTGTGAGTACAATTTACACTGATTTTCTCGGACTTGTACTAAATGGGCACCTTCAGAGCATCTTCGACGCTGATGCTCACAACATATCCGGCGCTCACACTTCGCCTGGCAGCGCTCCAGGTCCCTCCAACGCTGACAGTGCATCGGCGAGCTCAGCCACCGGTCCCGACTCCGGCAACAACGCGCGTGGGGGTGATGCACCGCGCTCTCTCACGGCTGCCATTAGGGCATTGCATCTGGCTGATGAGTTACAGTTTGTGCGTTCCTTTGACGATGACACATCCTCGGACGACGGCAAAGGCGCCATGGGTGGGTTCGGTAAAGGTTCGGATAGTAAGTTGTACAGTACCAATAACGGCTCCATCCCCAGTCTTGTGTCCGTAGGCTCCAGATCTGACTGCCCCTAAGTACATGTACCATAGATGCCCTTAGATACGGTAGCTATAGCGGTATACAACAGTGTCATAGGCCATGTCATTGAACAACATTTTGTGTCTCTTTTATTGAATGACCTGTTTTGGATCGCA